AAGTACGCGGTAAATATTCAATAACTTTTGTTCCCAGTGACCTACAGGGACAAATAAAAACGCATTTTAAAGGGGAAGAGTTCAGCTTTCTGATAGAACAATAATATTTTACCACAAATGAAGTAAGATTGTTCAAATCTGTTAATGAAATGAAGGTTTCAAGGTTATGGCCGTTTTTTTGCCATTTTCCTTATATGAATAAAATTTATCAAATCTGATGACAAATATGTATGGAATCTTAATTCTTATAGTATAAACTGCAGTACCTATACTATAAATTTTCGATTTTGATGTTTTGGAAAAAATATGACGAGTTTGAAATATGCCTAAAAATGCAAAGGTTCTGACTCCCTGTTCGAGGGAGGGGGGGTTAAGGGGGGGGCTATAAACTTTTTAGGGGCGATCAGATGTTAAATCATCTAGTAACAAATAAGCTCCTTTTTATATTCGCCAGTTTTTACAGAAATCGCCCCGCTTCTATTCCTTTTTCACCCTATGAAAGGTTGCTCATTTCTGAGAAAACGGTTTACTTTACAAGCAAAGTGGTAAGGGATTTTTTTGTTCAAAATCGTGTCAGGTACATTTTTTGTTTGAAACTTTTTTTTTCCATGCACAGATTTCTGGGAAATCGATGTTTTCCGTTTTTTACTCCCTTTAGGGGGCAATTTCTGACGAAGCCCGGGGGTACAAGTGGTAAACTTTTTTGCATCTTTTTTGGAGACTACTAGTGGACATTCATACCAAATTTCAGCCAGGTCGGATCATTTTTAGAGGTTCAGTGGTATTTTTGCCTCTGACGACTGGACTAAATATAAAATCTTTGAAAAATTGTACAAATTGAAAAATATAAAGATTTGGAACAACATTACGTACAATTGTTTAAATAATGAGTGGCGGTATAACTTTAAACTATATAACAAATAATTTATATGCAGAAATTAATTGCTTACTAACTTTGTTCGAGATCTGTACCATTACTGCTGTTATTATTATGCTTCTTCATTATTTCTTGTTCAATGATAAATTTTGTGGAATATATTCTAAAAATGATAAAATAATGTTACGTAGCTGTACATGTGCAATAATGATATAATCATCAGTGTGTGTGTATCTGTAATGTTGAATTACTTTATATTTAACATTTACAAACTCAATAAAACTTTGCATAAATTATTTTGAATGCTTAAAGTACTTATACGAAAAAATTGAGGTTTGTCATTATTCTTTATAATAATTGTAGATATAAATAAACATTACTTGAACTTGCTTCACTAAATATATAGGAGAAAATATAAATTAATGCTCCTACAGCATACTTCCATAATAGATAGGTTGTTTTACTTTATTTACAATAAAATATATAATACGTACGACATTCAGCCTTCTCTCCTTTTTTGTTGTGATAAGACGACATGGAAGTTTCTTTCACTGTGTTAGCACATTTTGCATGTTTATTGGAGTTATAATCTGTAATCCATAATTTTAGTACTTCATTATTACTTAATACTTAATTATTAAAACAACCTGTCTTTTTTTAATTTCGTAAACGGAATAACCATTATTATCTTTATTATGTAGTATTGTGCTGTTACCTTTTTGTGTAATTTGTGCGTGTCGTAATTCTTGTGTAATATCCACAATTATGAAATTACCTCTTTCGATGAAAACACTCGTAATTTTAGGGACATCTATCGTAAAACTACTGTCATCTGCTGATTCTTCTTCGCTTGTTGATAAGTCTTTAGCAGCTCTGATTTTCCTAGACTTTTTCTGTACTTCGTCTTGTTCTGTACCAGAAGTATTATTATAAGATCGGATATTTCCTCAGCTTGTTTCAATTTTCTTCTTGCGACTTCATAATTTTCTTCAAAATAATAATAAAATTGTAATAAAAACTTGATATATAATGGGTACATTTCGTTACATGTATTGAAAATATTATTTCTAGTTGGAAGGTTAGTAGCATATTAATCAAAGATTAAATTGATAAAATTCAATATAAAGCAGACGAAAATCATAATATAAGTTGATTCGTTACGGAACGCAGTAAGATTACTTAAGGCGATGCTAAAGCTCCCTGTTTTACCACATTC